GGCACATAACAACAACATATCTTAATTGCATGTTTGGTCAATTTCAGACTGCAGAAGTTGGTAAAAACCTTCAATTTCTTCATCTTTGGCTTTTGTGGTTGGTGAGTAAATTTGGATGATAGTTTTATTAACTGGTCTTCCTTGAAGATGTATGGATATTATCCCATCACTGACAGCATTGTATTTCAGATCTTGAAACATTCTTTGTGACAATGAATGTGACACCACTCTTCTTCAATCTGACATTCTTGGCATAGTAGATCACATTACTGTCTCACTGAAAATGGCCAGTACCAGTTCAATGCACCCCACTAATGCCTAGGAGCTCTGGTGGTACAGTGCCTAAGGCTTTTGATTGCTAACCAGAAGGCTGATGGTTCAAACATACCAGCTGCTCCGAGGAAGGAAGATGGCCCGATCTGCTTCTGTAAAGATTTACTGCCTTGGAAACCCAGTGGGGGTCACTATGAGTCAGAATCGGCTCAATGGCAGTGAGTTTGGTTTTTATTCTGTTTAATGCTTGAACTATCAATCTTTATGCGTTCCATTTTTGACAACTTCTAATTTTCCTACATTCATACTTCATACATTCCACACTCCAATTATTAATGGATGTTTGCAGCTGTTTCTTCCCATTTTCAGCTGTGCCCCATCAGCAAACAGAGGTCCTGAAAGCTTTACTACATCCACGTCATTAAGGTTGACACTACTTTGAGGAGGCAGCTCTTCCCCAGTCATATTTTGAGTGCCTTCAAACCTGAGGGCTCATCTTCCAGCACTATATCAAACAATATTTCAGGGCTATCCATAAAGTTTTCTAGTAATACATCAAACAGTGTTTCACTGCTACTCACAAGGTTTTCACTGGCAAATTTTCTGTGAAGTGGATGGCCTCTTCCTTCTTCCCAGTCTGTCTTAGTCTGGAAGCTCCACTGAAACCTGTTCCCCATGGGTGACCCTGCTGCTATTTGAAATACCAGTGGCATAACCTTCAACTTCACAGCAACACGCGAGCCACCACGGTACGACCAACTGACAGATGAGTGGTGGAAAAGTATAGATAGAGGATCTTAAAAAATAAATATATACCTAGTACACTGCACATAGCACTATATTCTGGCTGTTAAAGCTCTCTCCCATGGCAGAACAAGTTAATAATCCTGACACTGGTACACATGTACACTGGAATGGAAAAATTAAGAAAATGGATGGTGGATGACAAGAGCCAGGTTTCTTTCTGTTGCAGAAGTTGATAGATAGTTGGAGGAGGTGACAAGAATGATCCATGTAGTAACAGAGTTGGAGACATTAGTACCAACTTGATACCTCCATACAGATACAGATGATTCCATATAGAAATATTTACAGATGTATGTAGCTACAAGGCTTAGCATAAACATATTTTTTGCTCTGTCAGCTAAGAGGGCCTAAAAGAAAGACACCCCAGTTGCAATAAACACATACAACACACAGACCTTGGTTCCTAAAACCTCATTCTCCAATAAGAGAAGAAAAGACTCCTTGGAGAAATGGCTGATAGGACTCAGAAAAGAGCATCTTGCAGCATAAAGACATTGTTTTAAAGAAAACAAAAACAAAAAACACATTGAGGGGGTTATATCAAGGAGCACAGGAGCCAACTGAAAGAACTCAGCTGGGAAAATGTGGGCAACAAAATAAAGTAGTACTGGACTGTATAACCCATGAATCTACAATGATATGAACAGTTGATCAATTAATAAATGAGGGAGAAGTATTCCAAATAATTTATGTGGCTATTCCACCCTGAGGGAGAGGAAGCATTATACCCTACTCCTTAAGTATGGGCTGGGTGTATTGACTTGCATCCAAAGAACACAGTATGGAAAGGAGGAGAGAAATAGAACTTTATAGTGGATGAACCTGACAAACCCTACCTCAGCCATGTGACCAAGGCTAACATGAAAGTGATAAAAGCCATGTTGGCAGAGTGTACCCTGATATGATGTGGTGAAAATGTCACGTATTTCTGTGGTCTTCCTCCCAAAACCCATATCCCCAGTGTAACAGTGAGAAAAACAAGAGACAAATACTAATAGGAAATCCTACAATACACTTGTCCAGTATTCCTTAAAACTGTCACCAACCAAAAACCCATTGCCAACGGAGTCAATTTTGACTCACGGTGACCCCAAGTGACAGTGCAGAACTGCTTCACTGGATCTTCTTGGCTGTAATATTTACAGAAGCAGACCCCCAGGCCTTTGTCCTGCAGACTGTGCCAGCCATGGAGCTTCCAATGTTAAGATCATCAAAAATAAGGGAAGTCAAGAAACTGTCACAGTCGAGAGGAGTCTAAAAAGACATGGTGACTAAAGACAATGTGTATCCTGAATGGAATCGCAGAACCAGGAAATGGACATCAGGTAAAAATTATGGAAATCTAAATAAACTATGAACTTTAGTTAATAATAATATGTGGATATTGGTTCATTAATTGTAACAAAAGTATCATACTAATATAATAAGTTAATAATAGGAGGAATTGGGTAGGGGATTAGGAGAACATGTACCACTGTTGCAATTTTTCTGTGAATCTAAAACTATTCTAAAAAGAAGAAAACAAAAAATAAGTAGACCTACCTTAGTAAAATTAAACCTGCTATGGAAGTAAACCGTGATAGTTAATGTTATGTGTCAACTTGGTTAGTCCTTGATTCTCGGTGGTTTGCACACACTATGTAATCAGTCACCTTCCATGAAGCAATCAGTCACATTCCATGATGTAATCGATGCGAATAGCCAGTCAGTTGAAAGGAGTTTCTCTGGAGTGTGTGGCCAGCCTCCAGTATATAAACGGATGTTCTGCCAAAGCTTATGTTTGTCCACTCTGCACTCCTCTTTGTGCCTGCCCTCTGGTTCTTGGGATACTGATCCTGCAGAAGTCTCTGGAACATTGCCAGCCCCCACAATTGTGAGCTATTTCCTTGAAGTAAATTTCTGTCTATACGTTATCTGTACACTTCATGGGTTTTAAGGAGCTCTGGTGGCATAATGGATAATGCATTTAGCAGCTAACCCTAAGGTTGGTGATTTAAACCCATCAGGTGCTCCGTGGCAGGAACATGAGGCCATGGACATCTTTAGAGCCTTGCAACCTTGGAAACCCAATGGGGGTCACTCTGAGTCAGGATCCACTCAATAGCAGTGCATTTGGTTTTGGTGGCATAGTGGGTGAGGTATTTGTATGCTAATCAGAAGGCTGGTGGTTCAACCAGCTGCTCAGTGCAAGGAAGAGGAGGCAATCTACTTCCCTAAAGATTTACAGCCTTGGAAACTTAACGGGGGTCACTATGAGTGGGAATCGAGTGGATGATAGTGGAGTTCTTCCCAGTGGTTTTGCTCCTCTAGAGAATCCAGACTAAAACATTTGGTGTCGACAGTGGTCCTAAAGGAACAAAATCTTAAGGATGCCTTTTCTGAATTGGTTCTCAAGTCTGGCTAGAGAGAACGGCACTAATGATTCTATGCCCAGTACTGAAGAGGGCACTGTTAACTCATGGCTTGATGTGGCACTAGAATACGTCGCAGCCCCACGGGCCCAAACACTGAGCACCACCACCCACCCTCCTGGAGCCGCCGCCCAGTGAGCAAGCCACCCCGTCCCCTGTTCCATGGTACTGCCCCTCTCCCGACCCCTCTGGATCCCCCGCACCCTAAGCACCGTCCCTCAGGCCCCTGATCCCCCGCGCCGTGGGAACCATCTCCTCTCATCTCCCATCCCTAGCCATTACTTGGTTTTCGAAGCGAATTTCTTGAGCAGGTTCTTGTTGCCGCAGGAGACCGGGGAGCCGTGCAGGCCGCGGGGACGGCCCAAAAGGAGGCCGCGCCCCAGAGCACAGCTCCCCAGCAGGGCCCCAAGCCCCGCGTGTGGAGCCCACACTCCGTGGGCCAGCACCCGCATGGCAGGAGAGCAAAGCTCGGACAT